ACTTGCAGTTTTTAACAAGAAGTCGAAAATATCACTTTTTACCAAAAATTACAAAAATATTCACCAAAATTAGAGAATTGAAGATATCAACATGAAATGAACAAACCTAAGAGAGGTCTCCCCACATATACACCAAGTATCAAAGCATTCAGGCTTGTAGTTTTCAAGAAGAAGCCGAAAAAGTAAAACATTGACACGGACGACGCCGGACAATCACTTATATGATAAGCCCCGCTCGACAAAGTCGACAGCGGAGCTAAAAAAAAACAACAATGCATGGATTCAAACATGCTACACATATGAATGTTGGCACAATTAGAAACTGCGAGTCAGAGGAAAACTACTTAGCTTAAATAATTGATATAATTTTGATTTTAAATAAATTAAAAGCCATCATAGGATAATATTTAATCCCCAAGTTTTATACAGTATTTGTTTCATTATTATACATCACCAATAGAAGTACACATAAACCAACAATTATATTTATTTATTTATTTATTTATTTATATGTCATATTTCACAGATAGACAATGTGTACATACTTTTCAATGTAGCAAATACTGTATATAATTATATATTATTTTTCATTTATCTAGCAAGTATGTGCCTCCAGATTAATCAGATGAACAGTGCAGGCCTTAAAACAAGATTCAAGCATAATGTTATTTTGATTAGAAGTTTACACAGAAGATAATCAACTTATGTCAAAGGTCAATTTGCCTTCAGGAACCAATCATATTGGATGACTGCAGCCATAACACATTAACAAAGTGGTTACAGTAACTGAAAAGATCTGCATAATGCTTCATAATACTATTAAAGTGTCATTGAATTTCATTATTCTGCGGACACAATCTAATCAAAAGTACCATAATAGTAGTGTTAACATTCCACAAATGTGCATATATACAAATGTCATAATGTCCCTGTCTTAAATATCAAAGATATGCCTAATAAGATATTTTCACAAACAAATTGGTGGGTCAGCCAATTGTCTAAAAAATTAGTTTAGGTCACTTGATGGATGGAAGAGAGTGAGCAGTGCCATTTTTTTTGCAGTGTCTTGAATTTTGCCAACAATTATTTTTGCAACACCCTGCATGCAATTTTTTTTTCATCTTTCAGTGACTAGCTTGCAATCTTTTTTTTTTAAACAAATCTTCCAGCCACACCTCATGATTTCAAATGCTTGACCTTTTACAAGTCATAACTACAGAGCATCTTAGTAACAATTATCGTTCCCTATAAGTTTCAGTAATGAGACTGAACATACAGACATTTTGAAACTGAATCTATAAATGAAGCTTTATAAATCATACCTGTGACAAACATAGGAGGTGGTGGTTTGATAAAGTCACTAAATGACTGTAGTTGTGTTCGTCTGGCTCTTGTAGAAGCACCACTCTGTAATGGAAATGCATTTTCATCAAGGAATCATCTATACATTTTGGTGTCTCAAACACAATGATTACAACCATGACAATCCTAAGATGTAATAACATGCAGACTTTGACTGAAATAGAAATACTATCAGTTACTATGAAACATGTGGTAGTATTTGGCATAGTGTCAAGTGATAATGTGTGGCTTTAAGACACATCACGTAAATCAGTACACATACATCCCCTTAATACCAGAGCCAGTTTATTACTTACAATCACCCTAATGATTGTATAGAATTGATTTCAGACATGTGCTCAATACAGTTGGGAGAGTCGAAAACATTTTGTATGACCTGATTACCTGATATAATTTGTCCATTAGTTTTAACTATTTTTGTCATAGGCTAAATATTATCAACTCTTTGTAACATCTTCTAACAAATCTGTCAAAGGCATGTCTGAGACATAGTTTAATAGGGATAAAATGGCTACTACCATAGTCACTCAAGATGAAAAACAAATTGACAATCATATAAATACCAAATCTAGGTATGTCCAAAAAATGATGTTAGACACACATATGAAACCTAGAACCTTATTTTGAACTATAAGTATAAGTATAAGTCTAATGAGAAAGTTTATTAGCCATAATATTTGACATTATATGTCACAACAGTGAATGATATGAACCATGATCATGTGATAAAGTATATAGTTCAAATTATTTTACTTCCAAGCAACTATAGAAGTTTGGGCATCTGCGTACAACCTAACATGATACAGATTTCAAAAAATAACAGTACAAACAATATTTTTTTTAAAGCTGAAGTGGTATTTTGAGGCAAGGACAAGTGTAACTATTTGGGCCCTAAGGAATAATGGAGTGGTGCCACAGATCTGGATACAGGAAATGAAATAGTGTTTATAGAGAATGGGCGAGGTTGAGGAGCTGGTACTTGAGTTGTGTATGTGCAATTCTATTTAACGTCACCACCTCAAAATTATACACTTGGTGGTGGAGGTTGAGTAGGTAACACCAAGGTTGTTGCAACTAAGTTAAAATTATAACTTCAAAGTCCTGTGCTAATTAATGTCAAGACCATCAAACTTACACTTGGTGGTGGAGGTTGGGTGGGTGATACCATAGTTGTCTTAACTAAGTTGAGTTTCAAACTTTTAACTTCTGGACTTGTTGGTGTAATGTTTGGGGTGCTGCCTTCAGACCGACTCCCTGTAAATAGAAAAAAAAAACCCACAATTTTAACAGTTTAAATTAAGAAATGGAGGAAAAACAACTAATCTATCATCACAACAAAGACAAATGGATAATAGTTGTGGTACACCAGAGCAAGAGTTCCGAACAACATTGCTTTTGCTTTTGGCAGTCTATGAATCAGTAAACTAGGAAGAATATTTGGATCAACATAATATAATGTAGCAAGATGATATGAACTTTTATTTGATATAAGTGAGAAATGTAACCAAGAGTCGAAATAAGCACAAATTCAATTCAGTTCATAGAGGTTCTTGGATAGACACAAATAGAGCAAAACTCACTCTTTCTCATTTGCTATGTTCACACGACAGCATTCTAACGAAGCCGAACTACTGCTCCTCCTACCGATTAACAGAAGATTATCTCAAATGCATTTACACAGTCGGGGCCGAACGAGAGCCAAAACTTGCTCAATCCAGTTCATTCAGAGACGAACGGAACAGTGCTCTCAATTACTTAGTGGTGAAAACGATTTTGGTGTCGTGCTTTGTTTTTTTGCATGGCATAATGCATGTCAGATCGACAGAGAAGTTCAATGCAGAATATACTCTCTTTGAGAAACAGGTACGGTATGCCTAAATACGACAAGCAAAGATGCAGCGAATGATTATTGCCCAACGTTGCCGTTGTACAGCTCTCATTATTGCAATCATGGGTGCTACCATACATGTACAGTTGACAACATGTGCGTTATACTCATCATAGCCATGTCAGGTTCCAATCCTATCAGAGCTCAAGCCGAACACGTATACATGGCCATTTTTGCTGGCTCAAGTTGGTTTCAAGAATATGCTGTCGTGTTAACACTGCAATTGTGGTTGATGATTACCTGTTCCATTTAACAATAGTTATATTTGTGCACAGCTACTTAGCACGGGCTAAGGGGCCCAAAATTGTAGCCCATACTGAGAAAAAATGTGGAAACACTTAAAACTTGCTAAGAAACACCTAGTATGAGCTAAATCTGACCCATTTTCAAGACATTGTCTGGACTCTTAGTATATGATAACAAAGTGTTTTGGAATGGTTAGCTAGGAATAAGTGTCATCTGAGATGACCAATGACAATAAAATGCCATATGTATTCATCGTCTGCATGAATGTAAGTGGAGACTTTGTTCTCAATAAAAAATAAAACGGACTGACGATGAGACTTTGTACAGAGTCTACTACACCCTGTTATCCTGCAACTTGCACTTTCTGCATTTGCATTGTTATTATTTTATAATTATGTAACTATTAAAAATGTATACTTCCCTGATTACTATACTGAAAAATCAAAAGTCAAAAAGACTGGAGATTTGTATATGTTTAATAAATTTAGTCTAGCCTGTACTGTTGGTTGAAAACATATGGGATTAGCTTTAATGTTAGTCCATACTAGAACATAGTTTGAACACACCTTATGTGGCCAGCAGCTTTAAACACATGACAGTATACAACATTACACATAGCAACAACTGTATACCAGGAACATACATACAAACATAACATGACAAATGTTAAGCACTTGGTAAATAGACAATGGTCACCTTATTTATGCTAACATAAGTTGAAATAGTAGGAGGTCCCTGCAACGCTGACTTCAAGCCTCGGCTGACTTCAGTCCAAAGCATTTTGGTTGATTTAATTTTTAATAGTAGCTATAATTTAGCATTACATGAATAAAACCAAGCATTTTTGAAAAAATACACGTAATGCATGCTTTACGAATAAGCAAGGACATTAGCAACACAGCCTGAGGCAAACTCTAACCCGAACAGACTCATTTACAGTAGTACGGTATTTCTACGTTTGTAATGCAATTTTGTGATTATCTGGTCATTTGTATGATTTCAAGTTTGGATTCTCCATCACATATCACACATGCTGCATGCCCTCATCCTATAAAATCTCGATAAACCTCATTATTTCAGTAATGTTATAAAATAAATAGTTTGCTCCAGTAGGATACAGTGCAGTTGTATGGTTTCCTAAATGCTCACTATTCTCAAATTCTTATATTCCAATATAATACTACACATGAATGATGAATATTTTATATCTAAATAGACAATATTGCGCAACAAGCATTGAACATGCTCAAAGAATTAAAGCCAGAAAAAAAATTGATTTGACACAGTTGTTTCACTTTGAAATATGTAGTTTACATGTTTTCAAAGAGCGAGAATGACTTGGTATACCTTGTAAATTTTAGCAGGAATTATTTCCCACAGTCCAAAATTTGGCACAAAACTAGAAACAGCACTGCACCAGATGTGTTTGACAGTCGATAAAAAAATAGAAAAATATGGTGGCATTTAATGTGCCATGAAATCAACAGATGATAAGGGTTTTACGTTGTTCAAATATTTATAGACAACCAATATTGCTGTCTTTATTTGACAGACAACAAAGGTTCTAACCAGACAAATTCTAAATAAAAAAAACATACTATCAGGGATAATATTTGAGTAATTGTAGAAAATATGACAGTTTGAAGCCAGCCTCAGAGGAGACATCATAATATCTTGGGTGGGATTGGTTTGTTATACAAAAGATGATACAATTTTTACATAGTTTCATAGATGGTTAATTAATAACAGCAGAAAGAGTAAAAAAAAATGCAATTAACACATCAGCATAAATAAAATACAGAACACTGAATAAAAATAACCAAGCATATATTATACATGTCTGTACTTCTGTTTTTAATCTGAAAACAGGGAGAGAATTGTGCAGCGACTCCTCCCCCTCATGCCCACGCAAAGCACACACCTTTGAATACATGCATTGATATAGTTTGCAAGCACAAGCCATGGTCTAATTAAAATACTTTTGTTTTGAATCAGTGTAATAATGGTGTTAATTCAGAGTACAAACAGAAGTATTGTTAGAGCGCAAGCCCTGGATGTCATGTGTAAATAACACCATGTTCTTACCAAATTGGTAGAACTGGACTCCAACAGCTGATCATGACGATAGCATGAGGGAAAAATTACCGAGCAAAGAAAGAAACAGAATAAGGCTATGAATAAGTATTTAATTGTTTTATTGAAAAGGTGAAATACAATTATGGCAAAGAGAGAAATTGGTGAAAGTTAGTAAATGGAAATGTGTTCATCTTTGAAGTTCATAGTTGTTCCAAGGTTTCTATATTTAGAAGTCTAATTGAGAATTATTAAACATGGAGAATGGAAGCAAGATGTCAGGGAAATACAGAAGGATTAAAATGAGTCAAGGCTAGAAGGATGAACATTTCCTCTATATACTGTAAATGCCAGTGACGGCACGGAAGATTCTTAATGCACTAATCTCTTGTCATTTTCTTTCTCCAATGGAGTATTGTTTTTACTCAGTAACTGGAAGAGTCATTCAAGAGAAAACACCAATCTGCCCCACAGGAAGAAAGGACTGTCTTCCTGCATGTGGCACCTATGCGGCACGTTCTGCAGAGTATCCATTAATGGCCGCAAGGTTGAAAACATATAATGTCATATTTATAATAGAACAACAACATATCTATGACAACACTGCCAGAAGGTAGAAAACCTAATGTGTTAGAATTACCTATTTCGTATAGGGAAAGTGAAACAGAATGCTGAATTTTAATGGCAGCTTTTTTTAAGGCCAGGAATCAGTTGCACAATATGTACAAGTTATAGTTATGGCAGAAATGTATTTATAGGTTATAAGTGATAAACCAAATTTTAAACAAAGTAACACATTAAAACAGCAAATTGATTGAGATTTCATCCATCAAACTTGTTGCTTTATAGTTACCGGGGTAACTGTTTTATTCAATCCCAATATAAGGAAGTTTCATGAGCTTTAACAGTCAAAGTAAACCAATCAGAAATGCAGTAAGAATCCAAATTGCATTTATTTCTTCAACTGCTATGCAACACAAAAACAAAGAGATGTTTAATCATATTTGGTCCGGTTTTCTTTCTTTTCTTATTTTTAATTTTTTTGACCAATTCACATGTTATAAGAGCAAAGTGTCAAGTAGAAAGGTTATGTCATCAAACTGCTAATGAATTAAACCAATTTAAACTTCATAAATGTAATGTTTAATGGCTCAGCAAGATAACTGTCATCACTTTGAAACCGACATGATTGAATTCTACCCACATTTTAACTTTTTGTTATTGGCACAACTTTTGACTGCTGAAAGGAAATTTCTACCAACTTACGGTCCAATTTGCTAAAAATATATATACAAGAATTAGCACAAAAAAAAAACAAAAAAAAAAATCAGCCGTCAAAAGATAAGCTTCTTAACTGTGTTCAGTGCTGGTGAGAAATGTGTTTTCACTGTACCATCCAATTACTGGATAGCATGCATATACAGTTAAGTATTAGGCACTATTTACCTTCATGACTTTGAGACCTTGGTAGCTGATAATTTGTAGTAAGTATAGTATCTAGTCCTTCTGGGGATGGTTTATTAATTCCAATTCTAGCCTGCTCAATCAGCTTCTTTGCCCTTTCTCTCAGTTCCTTTTTCTTTTTTTCCTCCTCCTGCCAGAAAAATATGAGAACTGTGTAGTATTTGAGTGAAATCCTCTAATAATTGGCACATTTCAATTGCAGTAATTACAATAACTGATACAAAAGCATTTTCAGTGATTGCCTGAGATTATGAAGCAGGTGCATAGTTGGATTCGGCAGGAATCTCTTGGCTGATCCTCTTATAGCAACTGACCAATTATAAAGATTGTAATGTATGAGACAGCCAAGGGGGTTACAAGTCATTCATATCATAAACTCTCGACTTTTGTTCAGGGAAAATGATGATAGTATACCTTGGTAACATTTTCAGGCTTTGTTGTTGGCAAAGATTTCTTTACACTGCTTTTAGCGGCAGCATCTTTACGAGCTTGTTGCAGTAACTTTCTTGCTCGGATTTTCAATTCTTGTTCTCTTGTTAAAGGTGTCTATAAAAAAGATCATTAACCCATGACTGCTTAGTTTGTTAAAAGGCTCAGTGTTAATACCATGAGCAATTATTTTGATATTCAATATTTCTAGTAAAAACAAATTATGATTTTCAAGTTCCATAATGAAGATGACATGAAGAAAACAAAACATAGCGTAGCTATTACAACTTTGCCTATTGAGAATCTAGATTAATTAATAACAAATAGATGGATTGACACAAACTAATGATGCATGATTTTTTCAGAAACAATGCAATAATATCTAAATATTTTGTGTCTAAAATTCAGATGTAAACAACTCTGACCAAAATTGACTAAGACATTGAAGTCATCATAATAAAAAAAAAATATTAATATTTATGTTCCTCAAATAATACTACATGTACTGTATTAATCAATGTCCCTTATAGAATAATATAACATTAATTGTACAAACATTTCTAAAAATAGTACAACAGCAACAATCTGAACAAAATTTGACAAGAAAAAACAGGTTCCTCAATTTTGTAATTTACTGTATTAATCTCATTGTCTCATATAGAATAATATAACACAGATTGTATAATATTTTCTGAAAAATAATAGTACAGCAACATATCTAAGCAAAATTTAGCAAGAGAATCACTAGCAAACATGTTCTTCAATTAATAGTACATGTACTGTATTAATCTCAACATCGTTTATAGAATAATAAAACATGAATTGTATAAAAGTTCCAAAATAATAGAGCAGCAATATATATAAACAAAATAAAATATTAGCCAGATTTGAAAAAAATGGGAGAACTACACTTTTTTGATTTGTAATAACAGAAACAACATATCAGTTTATTACACTTATCTAATTGACAAATTTTGTAAATTGTAAAAATTTACTGCACATCTTGAAACAATTTTAGTTACACCATAATTTAACTTTATAGTTGACATGTCATTGTGATTTATAAATTTGGAGATGATCAGATAAATATTGTTCTAGTTATTTAAACAACAAGAAGACAATATTAAGTGACATCAAACCATTATCTTGAAAAATATAAATAGAACACCAATCAAAATCAAACTTGGCTGAGATCCAAAACTGGTTAATATAACATCCAAGTTTGAAAGAAATGTAACCACAAGAAACAGTTTTACAATAGTCATAGACAACGAGAAAAACCAAACACATTTTTGCCTCATATACTTTGACCTTTGTCCACATAGAGACATGATAAAAATCATCAAACTGTCAGTACCTTATCAGCTGATGTGGCATCATCTTTGGTGTCACAGTCTCCACTTCTGGCGAGGGAGTTGGTGGGAGTTTCATGAATGAGGTGGTATTTATACTAACAATATTAAAAGGTTTGTATTTTCGAGTTGTTAGTTGAGTTGGTCTGTCTGTTGTTCTGGGGACCTGGCTTGTAACTGCAACATGATCCCATGAAGTCATTTGCACAGTATGCGAATCATCTTCAGTGCTTTGGTTTTTTTCCACAAGCTGTTCAGCTTTGGCAAGATCACTCGACAGAGGAGCAGTATCGTCAATATTTTCATCATGCTTTTTTCGGTTTTTAATATATTTAGTTCTGTTTTCCCCACTTCCATCTTTACTATGCGAATGATTCTTTTTGTATTTATGCTTCTTTTGTGTCTCTTTATCATCCTTATTTTTTTTTTTTCCTTTTTCAGATTTGGTATCAACCCCAATTTTATGTTCGGATGTTACCAATCCATTGGCAACTGTTCTATCCTCACTACTGCTACATTTCACTTCCTCTTGCTTCAAACAGTCATTGTTAGCTGCATCACTATCTGAGGCAACCTCTGAAACTTTTGAAGATTCAACAATTTTGGCAGATTTTGTTTCTGCTGCAAAGGTTTCCCCGGAAACAGCACTGCTCCTATCTGACACATAATTGCCAACGACATAAGTGCTTTGTTTTTGTGGGTCTCCAATAGTATGAACCTCCATTGCCTGACCAAGGAAATGAGTTCTTAATTGGAACAAGTATGTCATGACTGAAAGCTTATCTGGCACACTCAATAGCACCATACTGGAAGGATCGATCAGCTTGGGAACTCCAAGTTTAGCAGCACTATTAAAGGCCTACAAAGGTTCAAAGAAAAAAAATGTGTTAGAATAACTTTTTGTTATCATCATATTTATTACTACCCCAGCTGCCTTCATCTGATTTCTCTGCCTCACTACCAAAAATAGACTCTAGAGTGGACATGGTGGTGTGTTAATTGGTCTCATTTTTAATGAGTAAACTATTCATTCACGTAATGTTTATGCCCTTATTTGTTTAAGTAAACAAAACGTCTCACAAATCGGAGAGTTTTGGCCTGCATAAAATCAAATCTTTTGATTAATTCTCCATATTATATTTTTCTTAAATATAATATACAACACAATGAGTGGAAAGTTTTAATATTGGCAGGGTAGAAAATTTGTTTTCGTTTTGAAAGTCTGTTTCCAGAAATTGGTGGAAGTTGACTGAGCCAGCGACTTCAGTCCACCTCGTTTGACTTTTTGAGTTGGAATATGCACAACAGTTGACAAATGCGTCACACCATTTCAGGGAATTCATTATGATAAAGAAGTACATTTTTCGAGAGTCACCATTTTGGAGTGTGTAGTTCAGCCGCGATCAAGTCAAGACTTATAATGCAAAATTCGTTCTGGTACAAGAAAACCTTCTGTTGCCAATAGAAGTGCCAGTGAATAATATTTTACTCAACCACTGTTCAACATAAACAACAAAAAGCTGGGGTTTCAAAGTGATTTTATCTATTTTACCAACACAACAATCTCAACACAACTATATTAATTGTCCACTGATTTTCTAAGACTTCGAAAATGAAACATCAAGAGCAAACACCTACATAATTCGTTGGTGTTGAATCACCTCGCAGTTGACAAATATGGGCATGTAATTTATTAATTATTCAAGTGGGTGACCTTTGATACTGACATCATGTTCAAAAACTAAAGGTCGAGATATGCAAATTTATAGTGGGCGGAACAGGAATAATATAACAAATGTTCTGAAGTCTATTTTTCAGTAGCGTAGCACAGAGAACAGGCAACAAGTTTTTGACCAAAATTATCAACAAATATTAACTAATTATATGATATTTTTGGTATTCTATCTAATTTGCATAATATGAGGGATATCAAATTCATAAACAAATTCCTGTCAAAATCAGTTCAGTATTTTGTATTAGAAGAATTCATCCCCAAATTATCTTCAGTTGAGCTTAAAAATATGATGTGATTAAAATTTGATTTTTGTTTTATTTTTGCTTTTGTTTAATTTGCAACTTTCCAAAATAAAAACGGGAAAAGATTGAAAATGGTAATATAAACACACAAACAGAACACATGATAGAGTTTATACCTACAATCAGATGTTAATCAGATTGAAAAGTACGGTTTCTAAATTTTATTTTCAATGGTTCACAAAACTATATTGCCTGTAAATAAAATAAAGTACTCTACAGTAATCAATATTTGATCAACCTTCAGTTTGTTTACTTTTATTCATTTTCTAGATAAGTTCATGTTTGATTTGACAGACCACAATAGGTCCATACTTGTTAAACACAATGAAGAGATACTAGTAGTTGAAACTAATACAAAGGACGTGCACAATACCTTTTTGTTGTTGCCTTTGATGTCATGGGGAGATAATGATGCAAAATCACTAAATCAGAAATAAACAAAGTCTAGTTGTAATAACAGTTAGATGCTACATAAAGGTGTAGGCAAGACTGAAAGACGAATCAAAGGGCACAAGACATAATACAAGATACAAAAAAAACAGTAAACATCCAACAATGCTACTTAATTTTAAATGAAACAAAAACAAATCAAATTTAGAGAAATCAACAAATAATTTAACATTTGACTAGGGAATCTATTAAAAAATTTTATAATATGGAAATAGTAAAGTAAATATAAAAGTATCTATATTAGTAATAGCTATACTTACATTAGATCAGGTCTATAATGGTGAACAACAGCACAAAAAGCCAAGCCATTTCTCCAAGATGTTGTTAAATTGGTCACCCTGACCCCTCGATATCCTTTAGTAACTTCCTTACACCATTCCAATAACTCTTGCGCAGGTGTAATTTTTTTCCCAGATTTAGGGCTATTTCCAGGACTAGGCTAAAGTAGGAAAAAAGACAGTGCTGTCAATTTTAATGGAAGAATTGGGAGGTGTATACAATTAACAACTACACCATTAGTTAGTAAACAAATTATGATAACATTGAAAATTAAAAAAAAATGTGATGCTTTAAAATGACATTAAAAGAAGAAGAAAAAGAAGGAGGAGGGGAAAACAAGGTTTTAAGAAAACTGAGAAACGTACCCCAGGTGATGGTTCAGGGGTGAGAGTGACTGGAGAGGTACTGGTAACCGGTTGAGATGGTACAACTACAGTACATTCTGGTACAGTAGTAGTACTAACAGTAGTAGGAATAGAAGATGTTAGTCTTGTTAATACTGGAGGAGAATATGGAACAACTGCAGTACTCTGCGCCTTTATCCGAGGTGGTTTAGGTGGAGGTGTGACAGCAGACTGTGGAGTTGTCTAACAAGACAGACAGGTATAACAAGCAAGATTGTTAATTTTTCATGAATTTGACAATATATTAAGTGAGATTACATGGTATAATACTGATTGGCAATGTGAAGAGACTAAAATGATCATTGTAGCTTTCTAGCACCTTCCTTGGCATAAACAGTTTAGTTGAAATAGGATTTGCCTGAGATATTAACATGTTTTCTTATAAGAGGGTCAAATAAGAGCAAATCAGTCATCTCCTCATTACATGGGATGGATCGATTTCAGAGGTAAACCAAATGCAGGATTTCTTTCTGGGTTAAATCCAGTATTATCTAGATATGTTAAATTTTAAAAATCTAGATGTAATCATTGCCTTTCCGTTGTATTGTATAATGATGTTTTAGAAGAGATTATATAAGCCAGCTTCTAGCACAACGGATGAGCAGATAAACATGGCTATAATCTCATGAGTTCCTAGGAACTGATCACCAACAATGCCTTACAGCGATTTCATAAATCCATAGCAAAACCAATGAAAAGAGCCTACCTTCTGGATAACCTGTGTAGGCTTTGTTACTGCAACTAACAGCTTTTTGTTCACTCGCCTGATCATCTTTGGCTCCAGCAGGAGATATAACTAGAGAGGGTTCAGCTTTTTGAACTGGTGGCTGGGGTGCTTTTCTTTTTACTTTCTGGCTAACTTGAGGTTCATAGAATGGATTTAGTCTAAAATAGATTCAGAATACAATGATATATTTACAATGAAAAACGAAGCGTAGAAAATGTGCCTGATTTACTATATTTATATAATTGGTTATCTTATACACAAGTTATTCTTATACACAACATTAAATGCTCAACATCAATATTTTGAAAACCAGATCCTAATAACCTCATTGAGACCCTCTGTTTTACTTACTTACTTGTTAATACCACATTGGCATTGACACACTAAACAATCAAAGTCAATCCCAAACTGACCCTGGCTATCCTTCATCAGTTGGGTGGTAATTCAATATCTTAAAACTATCAAGCATTTAGTCAGTGCGTAAGGTGATACAGAACCTTAAGGGACTTGTCAAGGTGAAAGTTACCCATATATCTACTCTACAAAATACTTAAAACACCTGCTCAGAGAGAGGTACAAACACCATAAAGTAACATGTACAAAAGTAAACTTTTAAAATTGGCATGCATACATGCATATGAGTCAGCTCCATAGAGCCCATAGCATGGGATTCTACCATAAAACTACATGCATTAAAATACTTCAGTATATACCTTGATTTGAAGTTTTTACTAAAAAGTAAACAGTAGGAAAAACTATATTAAAACACATGACAAATTAACATCTGAGGGTTTTATCATAATTTCTATATTTCTGTATTGCTATTTTTGCAGTTCTCAAAATTCTACATGTGACTTTATTGACTGTAGTCACACAAAAAGTACAATTTCAATATAACATTGTGACTGCTTCAGTGTGTATTTGCTTGATGGGGGAGGGGTTAGTGAGAAATGAGTATGAAGTAGTAAGAAGTGGAAATCAGTTCAGTATTTGGTATGCACACCATGCTACGATATCATTGACTTTATCCGTGAAGGGGTGTTGCTATATCATTGG